GAATGAAAGTTTGTTTTGTATTAACTTGATTGATTAATTTGTCTTCTCTATGTGTTTTGAGATATTTTCATAAGCACCAGAAACAACATGCAAATTTTTCTTGATTTCCATTTTTAGTTTAAAGGGGCTAATTGAATTCACCTGTTCTTCATTTAGTTTTAATTCACTAACTGTTTTCAAGTGTGAAGCAAAGATATGCAGCACAAAACATGGTAGAATGGACATGGTGGCAAAAGACTTCTTTGTGCATCAGCAAAGAGTCGGCATTTCCTCACGTGCCAAACAGCTGGCTGACTTTGCGGAGACAGGCAGGTGCTGGAACATGTTTGGCTTTTCAGTTTTATTTTAAATCAGAGCAAAAAGCGAGAGCCGCTAACGGGAGGTGAGATTTAAGAACCACTCTAGGAAGTGTAGAGGTCAATTCTTCACCCCAAGCAAGTCTGCATATCCATATGACATTAGGAAACAAAATTAATTTCTGTTAGTTCAGTGCTAATTCTTTTTTCAATGCCCCTTTAGTGACACTTTTCTCTCTGCAGGATTGTTCATCTGACCTGCTTTTTCTGAATCTAACTAGATGCTTTACCAAGACAACCTTGTCAAATTATTTGATTTTCGATATTAGTAACAGTCTAGCTAAACTCACAGATACGTTACATTATTATGAACATGTGCAGACACTTTACAGTGAGGTTCTTTGCAAGAAGTAGACTGAAGTTACAAAGAAACAAGTGGAGGGTGTACATTTTCTTAATTGTATATAGGTAGTATTGATGTTACTACATTGGCATTTAAGAGGTTATTTCCTCATTTTTTACTATGAACTGTAATGCTTCTTATCCCTATTATGGTAGTGCTGGGTAAAATTACTCATTAGTGTTTGTTTAAGCTTACTGGAATATGAAAAGGTAAACCTGAGAATTAGGATGAGCGAGATTTTGGATGTGAGCCCCACTGTAGCTGTCTTCCTGTGCTCTCAATGAATTGCTGTAGGTCACTAGCCAAAGCAAATGAAAGTAACCCACAAAAACCCCACTGTCTGAGTAAAGGCTTCCAGCCTTCAGAACCAGAGCTATACTAACCCCTAGAATACAAATACGTTCAAGAGTGTATGTGGTTCTTTTTTTTTTTTTTTTAAAAAAAAAAAAGAAAAGAAAAAGAAAAAGAAACTATTTTTCTCATCTTTCAAGTGAAAACCATGTGAAACTTAGTAGTACAAATAGAATTTGGGGGTTTATTAAGTTGAACCTTAAAATTCAATTTTTTTATTACAGAGCAGAAATTGTATTCTCTGATTCACAAATGGTGCATGTAAGATTGCATTCAATATATTTGGACACTGTTCCCATTTTTCTCTGCAATGTCTCCACTTGTCAACTCCCTGCTGATTCAGTTAGCCTAATCTGGTTCTTTTTTACTACTTTTCTTGAAAGAAAATCTTATTAGATTCCATTGACTGATTTTACTAAGAATGGCAGTATGCTTTCCAGACAAAATTAGATAAAAAGAAAATTCCAGACTTTTCTTCCAAAACTTTAAGTGCTTAGGAAGGATGAATAGCAATAAATCAGAACTGAAGGTGAAAGGAGCTGCTAAAAGGTATTGGGATAATTTGTCCCCAGTATCATAAACAGTTTGTTAGGTTGTGTCATTATGTATTTACTTTTATTGTCTATACATGCCTAGATTGACGAGTGTTTTTTTTAAAGACCTGATTTGAAATCTGAGCACTGACTCAACAGAAATGGTATGTATGCGAAAGTAGTATTGGTCCTGTAAGCTGTCACATTTTACCAAAAGCGACAAAAATTTTTTCCTGTGTTTTTGTGAAAAAGACCAAATCCTGAGCGTTATGTATTTACATATCTATCATTACAACTAATTATGTTTTCTAGGGCATTGTTAATAAATCTAGATTAACTCAGTAGCTTCTGAAGTTTATTAAAGGTGGCCTAAAAATTCTTGGATCTTTTACAAAGAATGCCAGCTTGAAAAATACATGGAGATTATAATGTTAGAGGCTTAATTAAATTTACAGATTATATTTGGTATGTTCCAACCTATGTTAGAAGTTCCACTGATAAAAGTAGAACCACATCATAGCTGACTGCAGATTTTTAAAGCAAACAGAATGGACTTTTATTGAAAAGCTCATGCTGTAATTCATTGCAGAGCAAGTTGAGGGTAAATGTGCAGGGGAAAATAGGTATTTCGTGTAAGATCTCAACACCGCCATAAAGAGCCCCCTTTTTTTCCCAACTCTGCTCACTCCTTAAAGACTGCTTACTGCTAAAGTATGAAGGGTAAAGAAAGCCATATGGTTCTAAAATCCATTTTAATGAAACTGGAAAAAAATCAATTAATTAAGGAAATCGTAGCACTTAGAATGAGTGAAAGTGTATTTATAAGTCTCACAATCTCAGCACAAAAACCTGTTTCAGTTCATTGTGTAGAATAGTATGGCATAGGTATCGTTAAATTATACTTTTGAGTTGTTTATTCTCTTGAAGACTTTGGGGTTAATAAATGTAGAATTTTTTCATTTTGTCCCTTCCCATGCTTGCTCGCTCGCTGCTGAGTGTTAGACACAAAATCGCAATGGACTTGCTGTCAATATTTTACATGCTAGACTGTTGCTTCAAATATGTAAATTGGCACTTGCTGTGGTGGAAATGTTGTGAACAGAAGTCATGCTGGAATGCTGTATTTCCATAGCAATCTTTCTGAATTTCTGTTCGAACCAAAGGTGCCTTTTCTTTTATTCTTCTTGGACTTGTTTTTATTAACTCAGATAAGCAGTAGTAGCTTTTCCAGCTTAAATTTCCTTACTCATTCATCAAGTTTGGGAGTTATTTTTGTTTGAATATTATGATGTTCACCGGAGTAAAAACAACTGGCTCTGGATTGTCTGTGATCAAATTGTTTGCAAATTACTTGGTAAATGTAAGTGGTAGCCTATTGAATTTATTTCTGACTTGACCTTTCAATTCCAATATTAATAAACCAAAGGTTAAAATGTGTGACATTTTCTAGGTATCTTTCAATAATCAGATGATGTTCAAAAGGTTTCCTTTTTTTTTTTTTTTGTTGCTTTTCTCGAGGGAAGTGTGAAGGACTAATCGTGCTGGGGATTTTTAATTCTGTGTCAGCACATACAGCTGGCATAGCTTGGTCTGCAAAATACAGCTTTGAGACATGTAGGTTTACCTGAAACATTGCCAGTATGAGTTGTAGTCAGGACACCTCAGAGCAGCTTTTTAATGCAGACATAGAGCATTAAACATGACACGGGCAGGCTGATAGGCTATAGGTGAACCTGAGCAACATTAACATCTGTTGATATTTAACTCTTAGTTCAGATTTTGACTATGTATTATAAAAATATATTTTCACTTACAGCCACCAATGTCCATTCAATCCATTGTGGTGCAAGTCCAGTGTGTTAACAAAAAGGTTGGCACCATTATCAACCATGAAGTACGGATTGTGGTGAGAGACAGGAACGATAATTCGCCTCGGTTCCAGCAGCAGCGATACTATGTGGCAGTAAATGAGGTTAGAACTGCTTACCTTTTTTAATGTCTTTTGTCTGGTGTCATTGCTAAATGCCAGCTTTCAGTTCTTTCACTAATCATTTGAAAACCTGGTAAATGCAGTTGTTTTAAAATCCCTTCCATTTGTGTCACTTTGGAAAAACGCAGCACAGACAGTATCCTTTAGTTTTTAGCATGTAAGCTGTTCTTCATTTCTCTTAATGAACAAGAAAACAAGCGCGCTTTTCATCAGTGTGTTTGAAATGTTGCAGAAGACACTAGCATCTGAAGCTATGTCTCAGTGAGTGAAATACTGACCTGTGTTAAATTTACAAAGTGTTTTACCGCATTATGCAGCTGTATCAACAAATTTGGAAGTAAAATAAAAGTATTTATGAAAACAAAATGTAAAGCAAATAGTTCAAAAGGTTTTATTAACAATATTGAAGCTTGGAAAAGTGCAGTTTTGGTTTATTGCTGCTTCTCTTTATTAAATGGTGCCTGTGAATGGAATTCTTTTGCTTTATCTTTTTATGAAAGAGAGCTGTAAATTGGACTTCTTCGTATTATTTGAAGGAAAAATTTATTTCTTTCTTGAGCTGGTACAACTTCATGTCACTTTATAGTTAAGGTTTTTTTTTTTCTGTTAGGTATTGAATAGTCTGCTAACAACCAGTACAAAGGATCTGTGTTCTCAGTAAACTAGTGTCCTGGGGCTTTAGTAATAAGAAGTGGAAGTGGGAACTTACATGCAGACGTGGAAATATCCGGGCTGAAACCAAGAGGAGAATGGAAAGTTGGGTCAGCCTGTAGGTAAAGACTAGAAGAGTTACAGATGCATTTAAGAAAATAAAGCTGTTAAATATATAGTGTGCATTGTGTCCGTGTTGTGGTTTGGTTTTGGGTGGGTTTTTTCTGTGAAAGAGCATGACTGCTTTCATGTTGTTTGATTTTAGTAGAATTGATTTGCTGTTTCAGAAAAACTTTCATAGTTTTGTGTCTTTGGGACATTCAGCTTTTCAATGTGTCTGTGTATTATTACAATCACTAGGTTGCTCTAAGTGATGAAGCATGTAGGGATGTGCAGGAAAGAAGTGGGAGAGTTGGTGGTTGAGTTTAGGCCAAATCAAGCCAAAAGCATGGAGGGAAAAAAACAAAACCTACATGTTATTTTTGAGTGGAGACCTGAAGTTGAGATAAGGATGTACAAGTTTTACAAACTCAGTAGTCTCCTGATTGGTGCCACCTTTTAAAGTGAGATTGTTTCCCCATGACAAATTTTCAACAATCCAGCTACTGATGTTTCTTACCAGCAGAATCTGGAGGTCGCAAAATATCATCTGTATGAATACCAGTAAAGTGTCCCTTATGCTTTTAAATGGTTTTCAAGTTGGCCTTTACATGGTAATTGTAATTTCTGTTTTTTTCAGACTTTGTGTGGAATTGCTTTTGGTCTTGAGTAAAGGCAACATAAACATTAGTCTAAATTGCTTGTATGTGCTGTGATGCAGGTTCCAGATCGCTTCCAAGACATGTCTAACTTTTGCAGTAAAATTGAAGGCAGGTAGCATGTCAGTGCTGTAATACTAAGGAAGCAAGTATTTTCCATAATTAGAAAGAAGCCCAAAAGATAGAAAAATGCACCATTTAAAATTATTTCTATTCAGAAATTTAGGAATGTTCCAAGTATATGCCATCATTTGTTTGCGTTACTATTGGACAAAATGCAATGTTGCTCTTTCCACCAGTTGCAGTCCTGATTTAATTAGCTTCTTTGTTTCATTTTATCACTGTTGTGCTTATAGCTTCTGACATGACACCACTGTGCCCTTCAGCAGTACCCAGTGGGTTAATGCTCTCATTAATTAACAACAACAACAAAAAAATCACAAAGCATCTCAGAGTTTCTCAAAGATTTTAGTGAGTGATTACATTTTTTAGCGGTAGTTTATGCAGCTACTAATTGGCACTGCCTGTAGTGAATTTAACTACTGGAATACACTGGAATGAGGGGTTTGTGGTTATTTTTCGATTGCCTCTAACCTTCTGTTTTTAGTTTGCTTGTAAACTAAAAAGTACAGAAATTTCTCTTACATAAGTAGAAAGAAGAAAACTGAAGGACAAGTGGGTTTTATTATTTTCAGATACCACACATGTAAGCATCACAGATATCTCCTATTTTTTTCTAGACACAAAATTTTGTCTGTGTCAGTTGGAGGACTGACTTGTTGAGGTGCTTTACAGGGCTGGACTTGGCAGTTTCTCTTATCAGCTGCCATGTCTTTCTCTGGTTGTCCTACGTGGGATGAAGAACACATGCACTGTAGGTTTATAACCATACTACAGTCACTGGTGGTGCACAAAACATTAGGTGGACTTTCTACACGTACTGTTTAATCCATCTGCACATACACAGTAAGGGCTGGATTTACAGCTCCTGTGCTAACCAGTTTGGCAGCGTGTGTGCTTTGTAGGTGTAGTGTCTCCCATCATACTTCCTGTATACCTCTACTGTAAAGAAATCCGGGGAAAAATATATCAGCCTTGCAATTAAAAGTCTAGGGCAAAGACTTTCCCAAATAGTTAAAACTATTATAATCATTGGCACATGTAATACGAGACAAATAACTGTAGCTAGATTTTACTTCATTAGGTAATTTTTCAGTTTCAGAAATGTCAAGGGGTAAAATTATATTTTGGAGAAATAGAATGTTTTTTATGTAATCGTAATACCAGAATAAATCCTAGTTTTACATGTGTCTTTTCCACTTGCATGTGAAAAGACATGGTTTAAAATTAAGGCCATGTTATTTTAGAAGGCTTAGAATTAGATGGACTTGGTAGGGTAGTGTCTTGATTTATCCCAAAACACGTGTCAATTGTTATACTTGACTGGTTAGAAAAGGAGGATATCTGTACTAAGTTAGACCAAAAGCTCCCCTAATCCGATGTATTTTCTTCGTCAGTCACCCTTGCAGATGCTCAAGGAAGAGTGTAAGCACTGGGAAACATGGAGTGGCTGAATGGCAGAACTCAGAGGGTTGTCATCAGCGGCGCTGAGTCTAGTTGGAGGCTGGTGACAAGTGGTGTCCCTCAGGGGTCAGTACTGGGCCCAGTCTTGTTTAACTTCTTCATCAACGACCTGGATGAAGAGTTAGAATGTACCCTCAGCAAGTTTGCTGACGACACCAAACTGGGAGGTGTGGTAGACACCAGAAGGCTGTGCTGCCATTCAGCGTGACCTGGATAGGCTGGAAAGCTGGGCAGAGAGGAACCTGATGAGGTTCAACAAGGGCAAATGCAGGGTCCTGCACCTGGGGAGGAACAACCTCATGCACCAGTACAGGCTTGGGGTGGACCTGCTGGAGAGCAGCTCTGCGGAGAGGGACCTGGCAGCACACGCTGGTGGACAACAGGTTGACCATGAGCCAGCAGTGTGCCCTGGCTGCCAAGAAAGCCAATGGTATCCTGGGGTGTCTCAAGAAGAGTGTGGCCAGCAGGACAAGGGAGGTTCTCCTTCCCCTCTACACTGCCCTGGTGAGGCCTCATCTGGAGTACTGTGTCCAGTTCTGGGCTCCCCAGTTCAAGAAGGATGAAGAGCTACTGGAGAGAGTCCAGCAGAGGGCTACAAGGATGATGAGGGGATTGGAGCATCTCTGCTACGAGGAGAGGCTGAGGGAGCT